ACCAGAATTTTCATTTGGGAGTCTTGTTAACCTGAGCCTGTTGCAATCAGTGAGCTTTTGATACATGTTCATATTTATTTTATACCTGAATTGTTCAATTTTCTGATGTTTACACACTGGGTGAAATATATTCTTGAATTCAAGAATTCAGCAATGATTCTAAAATATGATACTAAGCATCAGGGCCGTGGATACAGATGTGGGCAGGGAGGGTGATTGGTGCACCGAGGGGAGAGAGTGGGGATTACTGGAACTGATCCCCTGTGTGGCTCTCTCTGCAGCAGCTGAAAGCTGAATTCTTCTCCTCTTCCTCCCACTGGTTTTCAGCTGCTGCAGAGAGAGTCATGCAGGGGATTGGTTCCAGTAACCCCCCCCCCACCACACCCATCACCCTCCCTTTGCACCATACATTGCCCAGGCCCATGTGATCACACCTCCTCAGTGCTGCCAGCGTCCCTCCTCTCCTCTTACCACTGGCAGCTGCAAGCACACACAAGGATCCTTCACCATAGTTACATAGTTAGTCTGGCTGAAAAAATACAAAAGTCCATCAAATTCAACCATACAAAAAAAACAAAAAAGTTATAATCCTATACCCACAGTTGATCCAGAGGAAGAAACCAGCAAAGCACGATCCAATTTGCTCCTGCAGGGGAAAAAAATTCCTTCCTGATCCCCCCGAGAGGCGATCGGATATTCCCTGGATCAACTTCACCTATCAATGTTAGTATCCAGTTATATTCTGGGTATCCAGGATTGAGAGTGGGAGAAGAGTCCATTAAATATGTCACATCTACCAGCCCCATTCCTTTCCTAAATGATCACAATGAGCGATCAGTACCCATCACTCACTGTGTTCATTCATAACTGAAGCATAGTAAATTGTGGGGTTTTTTTAGGGGGGGGGGCTATCAGGTTGGCTGTATGGGGCCCCGGAGTTTCTTAAAGCAGCCCTGCTAAGCATTTAGCCAGTGTGCTGCCCATATTTGTAGACAGGCATGAAGGTCTTACCTTCTGCATTCCACTACTACATATAGAACTACAGCCGTTCAGCTCAGCGTTCTCTGCATACCGTATTTGAATTCAGCCATTTCTACCCTCCAGCTCATTGCTCAATGATTTGCATTTATTCAAACTCAGTTTAAAAAAAATTATTATTTTTGCTTCTGCGCTGAAAAAGTGAATGGTTGCCAGTAAGCTTTGACGTCTGTTTTTGATGGGTGGATTCTTCGGGAGTAATTTACATGGACAATGAAGAGTTGATAAGATGAGGATCTACAAGTCAGGTGGAACATTTCTCTGAAGGAGTCACATTTGTTCACACAAAATCCTGAGACACCTGGAGGACACTAGAGTTGGCATTCCATCAGAAGAGAATGAGCATCCTGGATTCCATGGTTTGTCTCGGTGTTGTAGGATTGGAGACCATCCTTGGCTTGTCTTCTAATATATTTATAATCATTTCTCTGATTGTTTCTGGCTGTAAAGGGACAACTATCCCACCATACAACAATATCCTTATTGCTTTGAATGTTTCCACCATGTGCTACACAATTTCAATGTCTGTAAACCTTCTGGTGTACTTGTATGGACCATCATTTAATTATACTTATGCCACAAGTGCCCTAAACTATCTGACTATTATCAGCATTGCCTCCGGCTCCTGGCTCACCGCTGGTCTGTGCTTCTTCTATTTTATAAAAATTCTTCAATTTCAGTCCAGATTGCTCTCATGGATGAAGATGAAGATTGACAGAATGATACCTTTGCTGATATTAATTGCGGAAATCGTTTCTCTGTTGGAGAGTTTAATAGGATCATATATTTTCAATCAGGAATTACCCAAAAACTCAACCATCACAGCAACCAAGGTGACCTCAGAACATTATAGACTGAGGCGGAAATTCATGAGTGTTGTCCTGACGGTGATTTCCCTACCATTCCTGATTGCTATATTGACAACAGCGGCCAGTGCCATGTCTTTGAAGCTCCACAGTCATCGTATGAAAGCAAACATGGGTCACACCAATGGGAAAGACTACCAAAGTGCGGTTCAGACCATGGCTTGTCTCGTCATTTTCTATGCCTTGATTGGCCTTGTCATAATTTTATATGGGCAAGACCTATTTGCAGATCAAAGCTGGGGGTACTGGATGTGCTTTATGACACTTATTTCTTTTTCAGTGGTCCAATCTGGTCTCCTTATTAATGGTAATCCCAAACTCAAAGTAGCTTGGCGAAAAATGTTCACCTTTTTATAAAATGTCGCACCAAATGAAACAAACTAAATTGTTCATCTACATTTATGCTGCTGTGTAACTCAATCTAATGGTTGTCTTCTCCCCCTCCCACCCAATGGTTTGATTGGAAACCTGAACACTACACTTCTACTAGAACTGTGATGGATGCACAAAACCTCATCAGGAACAATGCACGACTATTCGTTCAATGCTGGTCCCTCATTGTATTTGATGAGATTAGCAACAGGGGAGGCATTGAAGGTAATGTAGAAATGCTGGTAAATATTCTAGGAATTTCTAGCATTTGTAGCTCTTCTGACATTGGTTATAACCTTGAGATTTCATACTGTAACCAATCTTAAGGGGACATCTTTTAACTTGTAAACTCTATTATAACCTTGTACATGTATCTGGAGGACGAGGTCTATGAATATTAAGACATGTCTATGTGTAAGACCTTTTATAACCATGTAAAATAAGTGTCTATATTGAGTTGTAGGACCCCAAGGACCTCTCCTAGACCCCTCTTCTAATTCAAGGAGGGGTTCCTTGGCCTAGCCGATATAGTATCTATACCAAGAATCTGGAAGGAGGTTACTTTCTAATAGAGATTGTGTATTTTCCACCATGCAAAGAACTGTGTAACATGTCTATAACTCTTGCTGCTGTATACATGTATGACCCTTAAAACCATCATGTAGAGAGCATTGACCGTCTGAAGCTTCTCTCACTCCACATGGTATGTATCTCCACATGGTAAAGAATAAAACAAGCCAGCTGACATCATCTTGGGCTGAGCTAATTAACAAAGAGTCTCTGAGTCATATGTGATTGATGGTAACAGTACGCCTGTCAACTTTTCGCACTAGGTGATTGTTTTTTGTGTTATTTGTGTCTGAATTTACACACCCGATCCCACAGGGTACCATTAAAGATGAACATTATTTGTGATGAGTGATTTCTGAGTGCATTCTTGGGGAAAAAAGTAGCATTAGACATGGGGATTAAAGCAGCTAGGGCCAAAGCCTTACATAGGACTTCTTAACTTCCATCATAATTGGGAGAGCCCCCTATTGAATACAAAGTACAATATGGTTTGAGGTGGTCTTCAAGGGCATCCTTTACATGGCAACCAAAAAACCCCCCACACAGTATGTTACTAGAATGTGTGAGTCTTTCCTTAAAGTGGCACTAAAGGAAAACAGAAAATAGCAATCACATCTGGGTTCGGTTCAAGCAGGGTCCATGGATAAAGTTGGGGTGCTGAAGTAGAACCCCACTGAAGTCAATGAAAGAAGAATGGTAACAATCAGTTCTGGATATTTCCTAGGCCTTAAGAACATGTACAAAAAAATAAAAAATAAATAAAATAATACAAATTCAATTTGGTGGGAAGACGTTATTTTAGTAACTGAGGATGGGAAGCAGTCTGATGTGGGCTAACTTACCTGTACATCAGCCCGCATTGGCGGCTCCTGTGCAGCTCACAGTACACGCATCCAGGAGCCTGGAGATCCATGTGTCACCCGGACATTACTGCTGTGTCCAGGTGACCACATGGTGTTTTGTCATGTGATTGCTGTGTCCAATCACATCAATCACATAGTAAACAATGGGAAGTGATAGTAAGCATTGGTTCTTTTTACTCCCACTTCTCAGGCTGCTTGTACACTCACAGACTGCAGTGCCAGCAACCCCAGTGTCCCTGACTAATGAAATGCAAATAAAAAATGCAGCCAGCCCTGTCACTTGTCCCAGTGCTCACAATAACACTGCCATACACCATACCATTGTCCTGATCACTGCCATACCCCATACCAGCACCGTGATCACCCCCATACCCCATACCAGCGTCCTGATCACCTCCATACCCCATACCAGCATCCTAATCACCGCCATACCCCATACCAGCATCCTGATCACCGCCATACCCCATACCCCATACAGCATCCTGATCACCACCATACCCCATACCAGCGTCCTGATCACTGCCATACCCCACACCAGCATCCTGATCACTTTTTTCTGCTATACCCCATACCAGCACCGTGATCACCCCCATACCCCATACCAGCGTCCTGATCACCTCCATACCCCATACCAGCATCCTAATCACCGCCATACCCCCATACCAGCATCCTGATCACCGCCATACCCCATACCAGCATCCTGATCACCACCATACCCCATACCAGCGTCCTGATCACCTCCATACCCCATACCAGCATCCTGATCACCGCCATACCCCATACCAGCATCCTGATCACCTCCATACCCCATACCAGCATCCTGATCACCGCCATACCCCATACCAGCATCCTGATCACCACCATAACAGCATCCTGATCACCACCATAACCCATTCCAGCATCCTGGTCACCTGCTATACCCCATACCAGCTTCCTAATCACCACCATACCTCATACCAGCGTCCTGATCACCGCCATACCAGCGTCCTTATCACCGCCATACTCCATACCAGTGTCCTTATCACCGCCATACCCCATATCAGCATCCTGATCACTACCACACCCAATACCAGCATCCTGATCACCACCACTCTCCATGCCAGCATCCTGATCACCAACATAACAGCATCCTGATCACCTTCATACCCCATACCAGCATCCTGATCACCGCCATACCCCATACCAACATGCTGATCACTGCTATACCCCATACCAGCGTCCTGATCACTACCACAGCCAATACCAGCATCCTGATAATCACCATAACAGCATCCTGATCACCTTCATACCCCATACCAGCATCCTGATCACCGCCATACCCCATACCAGCATCCTGATCACCGCCATACCCCATACCAGCATCCTGATCACCTTCATACCCCATACCAGCGTCCTGATCACCTCCATACCCCCATACCAGTGTCCTCATCACCTTCATACCCCATACCAGCGTCCTGATCACCACCATACACCATACCAGTGTCCTGATCACCGCAATATCCCATACCAGCATCCTGATCACCCCCATACCCCATACCAGCATCCTTATCACCGCCATACCAGCATCCTGATCACCGCTATACCCCATACCAGCGCCCTTATCACCGCCATACCCCATACCAGCATCCTAATCACCCGCCATACCCCATACCAGCATCCTGATCACCGCTATACCCCATACCAGCGTCCTTATCACCGCCATACCCCATTCCAGTGTCCTAATCACCACCATACCTAATCACCATACCAGCATGGTGCTGATCACCCCATACCAGCGTACTGATCACCTCCATACCCATACCAGCACCCTGATCACCCCCATACCCCATACCAGTGTCCTGATCACCCCCATACCCCATACCAGCTTCCTTATCACTGCCATACCCCATACAAGCAGCATCTGATCACTGCTATACCCATATCAGCATCCTGATCACCACCATACCCCATACCAGCGTCCTGATCACCTCCATACCCCAAACCAGCACCCTGATCACCTCCATACCCCATACCAGCGTCCTGATCACCTCCATACCCCATACCAGCACCCTGATCACCTCCATACCCCCCATACCAGCATCCTGATCACTGCCATACCCAATACCAGCATCCTGATCACTGCCATGCCCCATACCAGCACCCTGATCACCGCCATACCCCATACCAGCATCCTGATCACCACCATACCCCATACCAGCATCATGATCACCCCCATACCCCATACCAGTGTTCTGATCACCACCATAACCCATACCAGTGTTCTGATCACCACCATACCCCATACCAGTGTTCTGATCACCACCATACCCCATACCAGTGTTCTGATCACCACCATACCCCATACCAGTGTTCTGATCACCACCATACCCGATATCAGCATCTTGATCAACACCATACCCCATACCAGCGTTGTGATCACCGCCATACCCCATACCAGCATCCTGATCACCACCATAACAGCATCCTGATCACTGCCATACCCCATACCAGCATCCTGATTACCCCCATAACACATTCTGATCACCGCCATACCCCATACCAGAGTCCTGATCACCGCCATACCCCATACCAGCATCCTGATCACCACCATAACCTGATCACCACCATAACAGCATCCTGATCACTGCCATACCCCATACCAGCATCCTGATTACCCCCATAACACATTCTGATCACTGCCATACCCCCAAACCAGCATCTTGATCACTGCCATACCCCAAACCAGCGTCTTGATCACTGCCATACCACTATCCTGATCACCTCCATATCTCATGTCAATGTCCTGATCACATGTCATACCAGTGTCTGGCATTTTAGGGTCTCAGCTGATCAATTTTCAGAAATACCTCCCATAGTTTGTAAACTCTATAGCTTTCACATAGACTAAATAACATACACTGATTTGATTTATTTTTACCACCAAAATGTATCAGAATACATACATTTATAAAGAATGATTATTTATTTGTATCATTTGTATTTATATATATGATTTTCTTTCTAAATTTTTGGTACTTTTTTCATTTATATAGCGAAAAATTAAAAACCCAATGGTGATCAAATACCACCAAAAGAAAGCTCTACCTGTCTTGAAAAAATGATAAAAATGTCATATGGGTACAGTATTGCATGACTGAGTAATTATCACTGACAGCGCTGAAACGGAAAATTGTCCTGGACTGGAGGGGGGTGAAAGTGTCCAGATTTAATGAGAAAGAAAAGAAAAAAAACTCCCACAATGTACATCCACTGTCAAATGGTTTGTCAAAAACTGTGTGTGTTTACTGTGTACCCCTACTCATTCACATGGGGGAGGGGAGTTTCTGGGTTCATGGTTTCTGCACAGTCGCCTTACAGGAATTCCCTTACACCTCCATTATTTATTCTCCCAGAGGTTCTCCCCACCATGTAAATTTCATGCATATTTTTCGCTTGCGTATGTATTACTTCCAATACATTTAATTACTCAATACTGAATATTGGGAAATGAAACATCCAGTATTTTTATTTCATAACAAGACTTTGGGAAATCTGCCCTTTCCAACAAGTCCCAACAAAACTGAAAGGCCCAGAGACCTCTTCATTAGCTACACTCACAAACTTCTGCTGGCTGAACGAGTCCACAAATACACACTGGAAAAAGAAAGGTATTGAAATCCTTAGGTGTGCGTGACTTCCCTGGTTTTGTACTTGTCCTCTTCTAGAATTACATTTCGCTCCCTCCTCTCTGCAGACTACATTTGAATTCAGAATATCGATCTCTCGGGCTCAGGGCTTAGGCTTTGCATGCATTCAAACTCAGCCTATTAACAATTTGAAAGCCACGACAAAAATGATAATGGAGTCATGCAGATTCAGAAAGTTTGGATACGTGTTGTTGATTGGTTCATTCTTCAGGAACAACTTCCATGGTCAGGAAAGGATTGATAACATAAGGATCCATGTGTTTTAGGTAGATGGAGCGTCTCAGTCACCCTAAAACCATCGAGTGATCTTCTCCTTCACTCTCGAAGTCTTGAGGTGTCTCGGGGGCACTACTTCACCAGATGAGAATGAACATGCTGGTTACGAAGGGGTTTTTTTGTGTCATGGCATTGGAGTTCCTCGTTGGCTTGTGTTCTAATGTCTTTATAATATTTTCTCTCTCCTTTTCTGGCTTCCAAGGGAAAAATAATGCACCATACAACAACCTCCTTATTGCTTTGAACGTTTCCAACATGTGCTTCACTATTGCAATATTTGTGTACTTTCTGATGTACTTCCTTTGGCCATCATTCAGTTTAACTCCCATCTCAGGTGTTTTAAGCTATTTTACATTAAACAGACTTGCGTCCGGCTCCTGGCTCATGGCCAGTCTGAGCCTCTTCTATTTTCTAACGATCCTTCAGTTCCAGTCCCGATTCCTTGTGTGGCTAAAGATGCAGATGAACAGAAGAATGCCTTTGTTTATAATAATTGTGGAATTTTTTTGTCTGTTGGAGAGTTTTGCTGCACCATATATTTTCAATATGGAATTATCCAAAAATTCAACCCTCACCACCACCGAGGTGATCACAGAGCAAAATCAAATGAGGCTGAATTTCATGGGTGCTGTCCTGGCCGTGACTTCCCTACCAATGCTGATTTCTATATCGACAACGGCTGCCAGTGCCATGTCCCTGAAGCTGCACAACGATCGTATGAAAAGAAACATGGGTCAGACCAAAGTGAGAGATTACCGAAGTGCGGTTCAGACCTTGGAAGGCCTCATTGTGGTTTATGCCTTGGTTTACTTAATAATGATTTTATTTGGCCAAAAATTATTTGAAGATCTAAGTTTGGGGTATTGGATGTGTATGATGATACTTTCATCCTTTTCTGCGGTTCAGTCCGGTCTCTTTATTATGGGTAACCCCAAACTCAAAGAAACTTGCAGAAAAATCTTCACCTTTTCATAAACTGTTGCATCAATGAAATATTCCTTCTGCGATTTGTAACTGTTTTGAATCCAATCCGATGGTTGGCTTCTTCTCAACGACAACATGTTTGAGGTTGGAAACTAGAATGGAGATGCCGAGAACTTTATTGTGAACTCTCATCATAGATAATGTGCATAGTAAACGAAGGGGTTCTGTGGTGCTCATCACTGGATGTTATAGAAGATTAATCATGTCCCTCCTAAAATATTTAGTTAAGCTTTGAAAACAATGTAATGTATGTAAGGTCTGTTATTAATAGAGAAGGCAATATCTTTGCTGATAACATATCTTGTCTTGAAGTCCACCATCAACTAGATTTTTTAAAACATTTTTCTTGTTCAAACAATTTTATTAACAATAAACCGGAATGACACAAACAAGGAGACATTGTTAATACATATTAGGCATTGATGTGACAGTAGGACATAATAAAATGAATGAGGGTCAAGGCATTAACGCCTATACATTTCTAACGGAAACAGGTAAATAAAAATCAATGACAGATCACAAGATGGTATCAGCCAATCATGCATTAAAGAAATAGGGGGAAGTCTGGAGGGGGTCAGACAGGGGCGGAAGGGGGGGAAGGGGAAGAAGAACAACAACCATGACTCCGTGAACATTCATCAAGTTCACAACAGCCTCTACGCGCTACGCACGAGGGGTTATGGACCATATCCTTGACGTACAGTACTGAACTCAAGGGAGAAGCAGTGATTCGTCAAAGTTAGACGGAAGGAAATGCTCTACCCAAGGGCTCCATATGCGCAGGAATTTAGGGATCGTGTCAAGAACTGTGGCTTCCACCTTTGCGTGTATCATGGCTTGTGTTATTCTGGTTTGGACGGCCGCGACACTAAGAGTAGGGGATTTCCAAGACTTTGCTATAACCTGTTTAGCCGCTGTCGTGACTTGCATAAGGAGCTTAAATTGCGAGTTGGAGATGCCAGAAGGGCATTGGTTGAGTAGGGCTGTTGTTGGGTCTGGCTGTATAGTGATAGTGCTAAATGTAGATATCATGGTAAAAATTTCATCCCAAAAGATTCGGGCTACAGGACAGTCCCACCATATATGGTAATGTGTTCCCAGATCCGCACAGCCTCTGAAACAATTGGGCGAGTAATTAGGGGTAAATTTTGCGATTCTTGCTGGGACCAAGTACCAGCGGGTTAAAACTTTATAATTTGTTTCCAATGCTACAACGTTCTGCGAAGACGATTTTGTGTTGGCCCAAATGTGGTCCCAATCAGACGGGTCGACTTTCTTACCTAGATCCACTTCCCATTTATGGGTATATAGAGGGGGGACATGGTGGTCGAAGCGGCGAAGAGTGAGTATAAGCAGGAGATAAGCCCACGTCTATGAGGGTCTTTGCAACACGCTCGTTATTTTCTAAAACATTTTTGAGATCGAGGGGGCTAGGTGTCAGGACCTAGACACCTGCTGGTGGCACTATAGTTTTCTGGCGGAGGGTTGTTATTCCAGCGTCCACCAGCATGTATCTCACAGCAGCCAGCAGGACCCAGTAATCAGTTTCCACCTGATGCTGGCTGTTGGGAAGGTATTTAGGTCCTCTCCTATTAGTGCCTCTCGTTACAGTGTTTTGCTGAAGCCATATCCCGATGGAATTTATCCAGATCTTTCTCCTGAGCTGTACACTGTTGCCTTGTTCCTTTTCCCAGTTTTGTTCCCCCCTTCCCATCGGCTCCCTGCACCTCCAGTTTTCCCCAGCCTTTTTGTGTTCCCCATTTTGTATATATTGTATATTGTTAGTTAGGCTTTCGATTTGTTAGTTATTAGTCAGGTATTCTGTCACTGGGGTCTTTGGTTTACTTGTATTTTTATGTTTGCCGTGTGCTGGTGTTTAGATGGATTTTGATTCACTGAAAATAAATCTTTTTTAAAAGCATATACGGTCTGATTCCAGTGTCCTGCGTGTAGCCACCCTGATCTAGCCGTCCCTGCTGATTACTGATGTCAGGCCTGGAGATCCTGATAGAGTTTTTTTATATATGTGTGTCTCAGTTGTGGAGACTCTTCTTGTTTCCTGTTTGATGGCACTTCTTTACATTGTGACCATGCAAGGCCCTGCCACTATGAAGTTGACTGTAAAAAGGACAGAGGGTTAGTACCTATGCTGAGTACAGGGCTCTGAGATACCAATTGTGACCTGTGATCTGTTTGTTTTGGTTTTATCTGGATTATTTCCGAATTGGGTTCTGGAATTTGGAGATTTCAAAGTGCTTTGGGAGGGAAGACATTTCCAGTCAGTTTCCATTAGTGGTGGGCCAAACACCTACCTGTTTGGTTTGCGGTCAACCATTCGAACCTAACAAAAGTTTGACCGCAAACTTCAAACATAATGCAAGTCTATGGGACTGGAA